GCAGGTACAACCCCATGTTGTGGGAGAACAGTGACAGCAGGAAGAACCACCTCAGGTACCTCAGGGACACGACACCGGAGCAGGAGGCATTGTCCACCATGTAGAGGAGGGATGAGGTGATGACGAGGAGGAGGAAGGTGAAATCAGCTACAGCCAGGTTGAGGATGTAGACGGTGCTGGGGTTCCTGCGGATGTGGAAGCCGAGGAGCCAGAGGACAGCCCCATTCCCCACCAGCCCACAGAGGCCAATGAACAGGGTGACACCATCTATGGCCATGTCGGTGACGTCTATCTCACATGGATCATCGCCTTCAGCAGGTGAGGTGGGAGGTGGGGATGTCTGGCTCATCTCCATGGATGGACACTGGGCGGGTGGTGGGACCTCGTCCCTGGCTGTGGTCAGAGTGGATGGAGAATTAGAGATTGGAGAATGCAGGGATGAACCCTGTGGCTCCTCACCAGCTCTCTGCCCTGGGAAGGATTCAGAGCAGAGAAGTGGGATGTGCTGGGGAGGGAGCTAGAGGACATTATGGGGTGGGAGAGGGAGGTGGGAGGGCTGGAATGTTCACAGGACATGCAGGAGACAAGAAGAGGGAGGACCTGAGGAGGGCGCTGTGGTCACCAGGAGAGGGTGGGAGGAACAGAGCCGCAGGCTGTGAATGTGGGGGAGACGAAGGTGGGATAGGGAGGAAGGGAAACATTCCACTTAACTGTTCACTGTGGGGAAGCAGCAGGCGAGGGTTGTCTGTCCAGATCAGCGGCGCTTCTTGTCATCTCATGCTCCTTTTGGATCCATATCCTAGAGCAGATCCTCCCAGGACAGTTATATGAAGAAGAAAGTCCCTGGATCACCAGAAAGTCCCCTCTGACTCCTCTCTGTGTCCTGTCCTGGTGTTGTTCCCTCAGCTCTCCGTGTCCTGTCCTGGTGTTGTTCCCTCAGGAGCAGTGGGACCACGGGGGAGCTGGAAACGGTTTTGTAACTTTGGCTACGTCAGAGCTGCGCTTCCTTGGGGTTATTTATCTTGTTTGGGTTTGTTTTTTCGTTTGGTTTTTTGCCACGAAGGAAGTGGCTTCTGCCAAAAGCTCCCCACGAAAAATTTTGTTAATGGCTCCTCGTTTACTCCTGATTAAAAACACTCTCCCCCCACCTCCCCGGAGAACTTCCTGTTCTCCAACAGCATTCCCTCTCCAGCCAGGTTTTGGCCATTCCTCATTTTTCTCCAAATCTCAGCATCCCTGGGGGGTCACCACCTCTCCGGCAGAAAAGGGATTCTGGTGGTGCTGGTGGTGCTGGCAATGCCGGCAGTGCTGGAATGCTGGCAGTACTGGCAGTACTGGCAGCACTGGAGAGGCAGCTGGGTACTTCTCAGAAGCAACTCTCATTCCGGAAAGAGCACTGGGATCATTGCCAAAACCTCCTCTGGGCCCAAGGGAACATACCTGCAAACTGGAGCCAAGAATTCCATTTTTTGCCATTCTAATGCAGGCCCTGACAGCCCAAGTGAAGGACAGCAAGCAGTTGTTTGCAGCCAGGTTATGAGCACTTACAGCCCAGATTAATTACTGCTAATACCCTTAATGATGCAATGGAAGCTATTGGAGACCAGATTTTGGGGCGCTGTGATCCCCATCCCAGCCCTTCACCAGCAGCACATACTCCTCCCCCTCAGGTTTGGGAGCACTTGTGGTTGTTTTTACCTGATCCCACCCCTTTGGTAGCAGGGACACCTTCCACTGGCCCAGGTTGCTCCAAGCCCCGTCCAACCTGGCCTTGAACACTTCCAGGGATGGGGCAGCCACAGCTTCTCTGGGCAACCTGTGCCAGGGCCTCACCACCCTCTCAGCAAAGAATTTCTTCTCAATATCCCATCTAAACCCACCTTCTGTCAGTGTGAAGTCATTCCCCCTAGTCTTGTAACTCCAGGCCCTTGCCCAAAGTCCCTCTCCAGCTCTCTTGGAGCCTCTTTAGGCAGTGGAAAGTGCTCTATGGTCTTCCTGGAGCCTTCTTCAGGCCACACAACCCCAACTCTCTCAGCCTTTCCATAGCAGAGGTGCATATCTATCTATATCTATCTATATCTATATCTATCTATATCTATATCTATATCTATATCTATATCTATATCTATATCT